TGTAGGCTTTGAATCATTATACCAAACCCCAGCATTTCTTCTGCACAGCATCTTATCCAGGACTAAGTAATTCACAGTCGACATCTTAAGACAGGTGTTACTTCAGAATGACTAAAGTCCTAGTCTTAAATGCCAAAAATCTCACAGCAAAACCATTTGTTCTCCAAGTACAACATGCCACCCTAGGGTGATTTTGGTGGCCTAATCATCAGGCAATATTTAGAGTCCTCTTTGACCCACCTCTGTGTCCACTGGCTATAGAGTCAGATTAAGCAGTCTCTATGGAATACAGCAACATCTGCCTTCTGATTTGATTTGGCATCACCATTGCTCTGTGACAGAGAGATAAAAGCACAGAGTAGCTGTGTTCAATTAAGTTCTGGCTTTGGATAAGAGAGGAAACAGGGTTGGCAGTTTAACTAGATTTATCTTTGCTACAACCCAGTGTATGTTTTGTATGGGATCTCTTGGATTGTAATGTCCATTCTCAATGTGCTGATTAATCAGTGACTTCAGGCAACTGAGGGTCCAATCCTCTCATCCTAAGCAAGCTCAGACCAAAAAAAAAAAAAAGATCCTATGAGTCCTGGGAATGCTGGGTTATAGGACTTTCCCCCCTCTCTAAACATGCATAGGATTATCTCCTTAAACTCAGAACACTTAGCAAAATTAGTTTTTTTTCTGGCAGATTTGTGTATCATAGAATTATCTGTCTGCATCTTTAGAGCACCTATTTTGTGCAGCACTGCAGTGGTTACATTATACTGCTATAGTTCAAATAGGTGACATTCTTAAACACGTAGTTATCACAGAGTTGTTATAAATTACTATCAACCTCAGCCTACATCAGAAATGTAATTCCAATCCACACCTACAAAATACTACCACTGGACCACAATAAAGGGTTGCTGTAACAAATCTTCACCAGCCTGTCCATCCCATGTTCCAAACCTGCAAAATGGGTATGAACTACGGTGAACATACAGTAACCAGGAAATCTGGTTTACAGTCAAAGGAAATGTCAGCAAAGTTCCTTCTGTGTGTGCCCTTGGCACGTACAGAGAATCCACAAGAGGAGGGAATTCATTTCACAATGGGCTTTAAGGAGCAGTAAAAGATTCTTAGTGCTTCAGGGGCAACTTTTAGACATGGCTTATTCTGTGCAACTATTCTGCCTCAAACACAGAGGGTCCAGCTAAAGCACTGACCCAAGCCCAAATCCAGCACTGAAGAAGGTTTCCTCATATTAACCCACTATAGTAAGCCAGGTTTTCCAACACAGGTTAAGCTATGAGAGCGCACCCTGGATAGACTAGAGAAATCAAGATCAGAGATCTCAAGAAATCAGATGTACACTCTACTCTTAAGGCAAAATGCCATTTTCTTTAATTTCTTCTCAGAATTGACAATAAGGCAATGTCTCTATGATTAGATTTAGTAGATTTAGATTCAACAAAAGTACTGCATTAAAAGCTAGTACAGAAATGGAAAGACAGTTGTATCCATATTCAATTAGTGTTGCTCTGCTAACAAAATGCTCTTTGATCCAGCTGAGGCATCCATCAGTGGAAGAAGCAGGAGACTCAATTCCCCATTCCCCTTTCCCCCTGCAGCCCTGTGCCGCCTCCGATGCAGTCAAAGCCTCCACTGGACCAAAGAGCCTCCCATCAGTAGGGTAGCACCAATCAGACACAACCCACATGCAGATTCCATTCACAGTTTGCTGATTGCTTGTACACACACCACTCACTGTATTTTTCATAAATATTACACAATTCAATTAGTGCAGACTGTTGATGAAAAAGCTGACAATGCAAGCAATCCTCAGACAAACTGCAAAGAGATAGCCCTGTTTGTAGTTTTTGCAGAAAACACATCTGAAATACTTCCAAGTAGTATAAGCTTGATTGGACTAGAGTCCTACTCATCAGATGCATCCGACAAAAATGCACTTTGGCCTGCAAAAGCTAAGTCACGAAACAGTTGTTAGTCCTTAAGAGGCCTCAAGTCATATAACCAAGAAGGTTTACTCCTTTTTCCCCAAATATAAAGCTGTACAGAATAAACATGGAAAAACCACTTAACAAAAGTTTCAAAACAAATGCAAATTTATAAAGTTAACTTCTTGAAGAATTTCACACAATGATTAAAGTTCCTACTGCTTATGGTTATTCAAACATGTACGCACCCCAACACAACTTTTGCAAACTAATGTTAGTCCAGCTACTAACACATTCAGGTGGCCTACTTCACAAACTGCTGAGGGCCAATATGCTTGGAGCAAGATGTGGTAATAATAAGCAAACCACAAACTATTCTGTATGAGCCTTGTACATTTCACAGGCTCCTGGATTTAGGTTAAAGAAACAGACCTTCAAAAACCTGGGAGCTGCAGAAATATTTGAAAAAAGAAGTCACAATCCACAGTTGCAACTTGTTATCTATCATTATTTCAAAGCCAGTATACTATCATGTTTTGTCTGAGACAGGTTTCACATAAAAACTGCACAATAAAAAAATATGCTGTGAGTACAAGTCCAGCTTTAGTTTGGCATTAGTCAAGTGCATGGCAGCAGCTCAGACCTTGCACAGCTTTGTATGTGATATAATCTACATTAGGACAGATTTTACAATAGTAAAAAGCTGTTCCCCCACCCCAGGACTCATTAGCACTACTTAAAAATATTACCAGTTCTGGTTTTAATACTCTGGCAATACATACAAAATTGCTGCAGACTGAGGTTCCATTGTAGTCTCATATTCAAATTGTGCCTATATAAGTAAATGACATGTGCAGATTAAATTTAGGGCTCTGTGCATACAAAATTAAACTGGCATCAGTGTTGATATATGCAGTCAAAGGACACTTAACACTTGCCTGTCTGTATAATTATCTCTGAACACCTAATATGAACCTTTTCAAACTACCCATGAACTGGGTTGAAGTGGCCTTCTCCTTGTTCAAAATAAAAATCATTGGCATGGTTTATTGTACTTACTAAGTCCAGTTGCTGCAACTGCAGTCCAACTAGCCAACTCAAGAGACTTGCACTGTTAGGTTAACCTAAAATTTAATCTCTGAATCTGAAAATCCCCCTTCTTCATTTCCTTAGCTAACACACTGTTGATCACAGGAGAATTTTAGGTATGGACTACCTAGTAAAAAGCACACTGCTCAGCAGCTAACTTTTCCTAAAGGGAATAAAGGATGGAAGAATCAATACCCCATTTCCTCCAGGAAAATGGCCTGCTGCCAAATCCCATTATCACATTGTGCTCGCCTACATTCCTCTTCTTCTGGGGTTGGTCACATGGCACAACCAAAGATGCCAAATTTGATAAAGGGATTCCCACTTGTTGTTAGTCGCGAAGTCCTGTCCAACCCATCGGGACCCCATGGACAACATTCCTCCAGGTCTTCCTGTCCTCCACCATCCCCCGGAGTCCACTTAAGCTCACAGAGTCCACTTAAGCTCACACCACTGCTTAGCCACCTCATTCTCTGCTGTCCCCTTCTTCTTTTGCCATCTACTGTTCCCAGCATTAGGCTCTTCTCCAGGGAGTCCTTCCTTCTCATTGGGTGGCCGAAGTATTTGAGTTTCATCTTCAGTATCTGGCCTTCTAAAGAACAGTCAGGGTTGTTCTCCTCTAGGACTGACTGGTTTGATCGCCTTGCAGTCCAAGGGATTCCCTTAACCAACTTGTACAGTTGGAGGCTTTTTGCCTGCTTTTAACTTTATCAAGCTGCATTACTGTAAATCTGTTGCCAATCTGCAGTAATTTTGCTTAGTATATTAATATACTTAGTTTCCCCCATTGTGTTCTGTCCAAAATTATTTTTCCTGGGAAATCTTGCATGCAATATACCTAGTATATTGAACCCCACACCCCCTATACGGCCCATGACTAGTTCAAGTTACATTAGAATGTGATCAAACCCCAAGCTCAACCATCAATTTTTTGTTCCTTTTGACATTTGAACTATTATAAGGAAGCCCCAAAGGTTAAAGAATCCGGACACAGCCTTTTCCTTTAAAACAGGGGTCATCTGGATGAAGATAGGCTATTAGTAAACAGGTGTGAGGCAACTCCCTCAGGGACAGTTTATATTTCGGAGAAACAGAGTTATATTTGTTCCTACTAGAACGCACTGACTCTCAGAGCTAGCTTGCACAGAAGAGGGCGATCGCTGTTTTATAACAGGTTTCAGAGAAGGAACACACAGGCGCTTGTCTTGGCACTAAACTATGCGGAAGCAATATGGCAAGGCACCCACCTCACATATGTTCCTACATCTAGACCTGTAACATACTCAATTCAGCACCGACTATGCCTCAGGCTGAACAAAGCAAACAACTGCTGCTCTCGACGTGCCCGAGATGTTCCCCACTGCTAGACTATGCAAGACCAATCCCCCGTCACTTTTAGGGGCCTCTCAAATCTGCCAGAGGAAATGACACAGCTGTACTTGCAAGCCAGCTGTCTGCAGAATTACACATCCAGCACTATTGACTTTGACAAAGGCAGGAAGGCAGCTAACTATCTGGGGAACTGCCCCCCGCTCAGGGCTATAAGTGCCTAACGGTCTCCCGGTTCGCTACGCCTCGGCTGCGATCGCGGTGAGCCGAAACTCGTCATGCAGACCAAAACACAGGAAAAGAACCCCACGTAACGCCCACCCCTAGGCATGCCCCGACGTGAGTGCACCAGTGCCGCAAAGCGAAGGAAGAGGCAATGTGGGCGGAAAAGCCGGCACTTAGTCCACTCCAAATGCAGATTTGCCAACCCGGGGAAGGTGACCGAGGGAGGGGGCCATGCCGCGATCGCCCTGTTCTTTCCACCCGCATCCTATTTGCTGCCCCCTTCCCCTCCCCAGCCCGTCCACGGAGATCGCCCCGAGCAAGACAGAGCTTGCATCCCGTCACTTTTTCTTGCACGCCAAAGCAAACTTTGCAAGCGCCGCGCTGGGAGCGCAACTACCCCGAGCCCCACTTGCTAACCTTCCACCCGGCAGAGCTGTTGCTGTCTCCCTTGTCCTTGAAGTAGGGCACGTTCTTGACCATCCACTCGTAGATCTGGGAGAGGGTCAGTCGCTTCTCGGGGGCACTCTCGATAGCCTTCGTGATGAGGTCCGCGTACGACAAGTTGCCCCAGGCATTGCGGCGGGACGAGCTGCTCTTGCGCGGGCCTGCCACCGAGGCCAAGGCGGGCCCCGCCGCCGGCTGCTGCTGCGGGTGCTGAAGGCAAGGGAAGTCTCCGCAGAGGCAGCCGCTCGCCGCTCCGAGCTCTCCCGCTCCGGCAGCAGCCGAGCCGCCCGCGCTCGCTTCGAAGCCCTCGCCGCCGCCAGCCTCCAGCAAGCTCAGCAAGTCACCGCCGGACGGGGAGACGCAGAGGGCCGCCACCCTCCCGCATCGGGACGGAGAAGCGGCCCTGGCCGGAGTCGGAGTGGGCGTCTGTCCCGGACTGGATGGGGCAAGCTCCGGCCGGGGCAGCGGCCAAGTGCAGGAGCGGGGGCGGGCGAGCGGCTGGAAGTCAGGGTCGGTCTCCACGGGCTGAGGCGCCTCGGCCATGGCGGGGGAGGCGCGGAGGAGGCCCGAGAAGAAGCAGCGAGACGGCGTGAGAAGCGTGGGAGGGTTCGCTCGCCTGGCAGCGGCCTCCTGCAGAGCTCCAGAAGCGCCAACCCGAGACGCCGCCGCCCGCCCGTCCTGCACCCGCTCGCTCGCTGGCTGAGTGACTGGCAGGCGGCGCTGACACAGCAGGCGGCGCTGCCCGGCTGAGCCTCTGCCCCCAGAGCCGCCCCTTTTGCTTGGGGCCCTTGGCCGAACAGCGGCCCAATGGCAGTCGCGACGCGCCCACGGGACGCTCCTCCGAGGCGGAGCCTGGCTGCGGGGAGGCGGCCGGCGCTAGCGCCTCCCGCGAAGGGGAGCCGCGCCGGCACCCAACCTGCTTCGAAGTAGAAAGCCGGAGAGGCTGGAGCGGCGGCCGCGCCTGAAGACTGGCGACGCCCCCTCTCCCCGTGCCGCCTATTTCTTCATTCAGAGGCTCTCCTTTCCTGCGAAATCCTTTCTTGTTTATCTTTCCCTTGTAGCAGGGAAAAGAAAAGGAGCAGCGCCGGGGCTGTATGTGTGTATGCCCGCGCGGGAGCGCACGTGTGTGCGTGAAAGAGAAACCGGGGCTAGGGTGTGGTTGTGGTGAGCAAGACTTTGGCAGGCCGGATGTGCGGGTGTAGGGTGTAGTAGCGGAAAGTGCGAATGCGAGTATCAGGCACGATTTAATCCCTATAAGAGATACTACGCAGCACCCTGCTTGTTTCCTGGACATCAGTTAATCTTTATTATTCGAGTCTTTATTGAGTCTATTCAATCTTTAAAGCACTATGTTCGTTAGAGCTATGTATTAGTTTTCTTTTGGCATGGAGGTAACGGTATTCTTATATCACGATATTATCTTAACCTTTCTCCAAGCAGCTCAGGATGGGATACGTGGTTTGCCCATACGCACCCCCTCCCCCGCACCCTATGGCTCATTCTTCTTCTCTCGCACACTCGCGCAAACCGTTTTTATGTGTTTGAAAATATTTGTGTACTTTGGTTCATGAAAATAGCCCTGCCAATAAGCAAATTAGAAACAACAAGAAATTACAAACAATAAGCAAGACAGTTGCCAGGAGTAGGGCAGGCAGTTCCTAAGGCCAGATGAAAGAAAAAGGATTCTGCTTGCCTCCAGCAGAGAGGAAGAGTCGTTCATTGGGTCCGAGAAGAGGGGCGGCAACCCTTAGCAAATCAAGGCTCCCCGTGGAATGGCACCTAGAATAGGTCCTCATCAGAAGACTGTTAAGTGCCAGGAAGCTTCAGGTGGAAAAGACACTACCTGACATAATCAGCATTCAAAGCATGCAATACATTAGAGATAAGAAACTAATTTGGGCCTAGAAATTAGCTACTATCCAGTGAATGGAAGCATATAGTTGGAAGGGGATAATCCCCTTCTCAGTGCAGAATCTGCAGTGCAGCTACAACATTCCTGAGAGTGGCTGTCTAGCCTCTATTTAAGTAAAGCTTTCAGCAAAGGTGAGCCCATCACCTCCAGTCCGGAGGAAAATTATTCCATGGTCAAACAGCTCTTACTGTTAAGAAGTTTGTCCAGACGCAGAATCAAAGACAATGTACCTGCAATTTCTACTTGCTTTAGTCCTGCTCTCTGGAGCAACGAAGTACACATCTGCTTCATCTACTATGCATCAGTCCTTTAAAAACAACTTTTAAAAACTATTTAAAAACAGCCATCTTGTATCCCCTCAGCCTTCTCTTCTCCAGGCTGAACATACTTAATGCTGTGCTAAAAATGCCCTACACATTCTTTTGACTATTGTCATTCAACATGATACATGAAAAAGCCATTCAAAAGACAGGAAAAACTCTGGAGAAATTCTCATGGGCTGAGCTTGAACTTTCTTTATGAGGTGGCTGAGCAGTGTGCACAAGTCCCCTGTTTTTCATTGTACAGGTCTCTCTCCAGCAGCCTCTAACCTTGGAGTCCCACAGTTCAGTTAAAGCCCAGGGGAAGGCACAAGAAGTAATGCCTTCCATAGGGCTTTATAGACAGGTGAGTCCAGGAAGCTGGGGGGGGGAGCTGTACAACAATGGAAAGGACAATAGAAGAAGCACACATAGGACCTAGCACCATTGGCCACTTTGCATTGACTAGCTAAGTTAACAGCAACATCTGTAAAATGCCTTGAGAATGAGACAGAATAATGGAAGCTTCTTTAATGGAGAAGATAACTTCCAGGAAAAGGGAGAGCACATTTAAGGCGGCACTAGATCCACCTGATCTCTGAAGTGGGACATAAGGCTTCCCCATCACACCTGCTGCAGGACTTCCAGAGAAGCAGCAATAAGCATCTGCATTAGGGACAAAAATTTCCCACAATCATCCTTCCCCAACTTGTGGAAGACCCTAGGAAAGGGACTGAACCCTGAAGCTTGACAACTAGAGTTGAACCAATCTTTCTCCAAAGGTATTTTGCTGAGGAAAGTTCTGAGATCTTTCTTTTTTATTACTGCTTAGAAATAAAAGGTCACCTAACAGAATTGTAGCCATATTTTCTTCTCCTTTGGAGTAGTAATGACTGACATCTACAATGCCCTGGAATGATAATTGGCACAGGACTTTGCAGAATGGGAGTGGCTGCCAACAAAATTGCTGCTGTTGCCACTTGCCAAAGCACTACAGAAAGCCAAAACTGCTTAGGAAAAAGTTGTGTGAACAGTTTTATAATTTTTCTTTCCCTTGGAAAAATTCAATGAAGTTGTACTTCCAATTTCTCTGCCCACAAAGAGAGTGAGGAATTTCAAGAAGCCAGTTGTGCACATCTCTAAAACTTACCCAGCTTTTATAACTGTGCCTCATAGCACTTGGCCATGAGACACGTCACTATCCTTCAACAGATGCAGCCTGATCAGTGCAGAATAGAGTGGAACCATTCGTTCTCATGATCTAGACACCACATCCTGTTAATGCAATCTAAATGTGCATCCAACTTTTTTTAGTAGGCTTGTGTTCCATTTTGGTGGACTAAGACATTTAACTCCTGAATATGGTGCTCCTTTATGTACTGGAAAATAATATCAGTAGGAGAAAATATAAAAGCTGGATGCAAACGGAGATGCAAAACTAGATGAACAATACAATATAGTTAAACACAACCAGCTAGTCCTAATTTTCCCAGATTCCCTATTGAATAGCTTACCTTCTTGGTCCATCTGATCTCTACTTCTAACAGCCTATCAGGTTTCTGTTCATTACTGCCACGTAAGAGTTATTTCCAATGTTATTTCTGCATTGAGTAAACCCACTGAAATGAATGGAACATAAATTAGACTAACATTGGATACAACTTTTTATTTCCTGAATTAAACCATTTTCTTGTTTTGACCTCTTGATGAACTTTACAGCCTTCTTCCTGGGCTAACCTTCCTGCCTTCTGTAAGTTGCACTTTTGACTTTTAAACTATTCATCTTATTTCCAGGGCTAGTTCTCTTGTGAAGTAGAGTGAATCCTCTGCCTCAGCTAGCACATCTGGAAGGGCAGAAGATCCTATATGCACTACCACTGGGAATTCATTCTCCTCTTCTTCCCTAGTCCTGACAATTCCTGACAATGGCAGCTGCAATGGCATGTCCTCCAGTCTCAGGTATTGGCAGGCCTTGTGCTGGTCCTGCTTATAGACAAAAGTGACTAGCACACACAGAAGATGGTTTCCTACAGCCAACCAAATCAGTTTCAGAAAAGCACTATCCATGTTGGTGGGTCAGTTTGTAGTGTACTTCCACAGCAAAGACACTTGTTTCTCTCCTTAATATCCCTACCCAAATGCCTTTGCCAGGGTTTCTGCTCTCAGACTTACGGATATCCATGCAAGCATACCTCTTATATATAAAATGTTCCTCTTCCCTTTCTGTTGGGTCGATTCCCTTCTGGAAAAAGCATACATTTCAATTGTAAAATGCCAAGTGTCAACCACATCTCATCAAGTCTCAGTGATACTTATCAGATGGTATTTACTTTCTCCTATTCAGAGTTCACATTTATCTTGTTTGTTTTCTGTGCTCTAGACATTAGTTAGTATAGACTGACTACGCAGATGCTATTGGGCCTTGTACTTTGTTTCACTGCTGAATTTACCTGCAGATGCTTCAAAACAAATGGTATGTGTGAATTTTGATCCACACTATTAACAGGCGGGTAGCTAAGTGATCTACACGCTGGTTTTGAACCATCTTTAAAGGCACCTCAACTCTGAGTATTGGAGTGCATTGCAATAGACTAATCTGGAAGCTCTCAGAGCATTGTAGATCAATCCCAATCATCCTGAGCTTTACGGAGCATGTGGAGATTTTAATGGAGTGTTACCTTATCAATATATGTACATTTTTAGAACTGGTACTTATATTGAACTAGTAGATATATTGATATTGTTATGTAATAAATAATAACTGTGGGAGTCCCACCACTAATTCCAGCTATAGAAATGTAAAGTTATCACAAGCGGCAGGAAGTAAGTTCCACTGAACTCCATAGGGGGTTAAAAGTGCATAAGGTTTGCTGGCAGAAACCTAAACCATTGTCCAACTTCCCACATAGGAAAACAGACACAGATGTTTATCCAGAAGAACAGTAATTCTCTAGTTCCACACTTGCAATAATTAGTAGTATGTTATGTATTAAAGAATGAAAAAACCCACTATTTTAAATGGCACTGAATAGAGTGTAACATAAATAAGCCCTCATATTTATGGGTGGGTGTTAAGCACCCCCAGTAATCCTTTCAGTAATATGGTGGTACCCCTTTTGGTCTTTGAACATCTTTGTGCTATGCACATGGAATTGGAACCAACCTATCCATTTTTAGGTTTTCATGGCCAGTGCCAGCTCCAGGTTTTGAGGGCTGTTAGGAAAGATACCCTCCATGGGCCCAGTCATTCTGTAAACCCACCTTCTCAGCACCATTATCATCAACTACAATTGGTCCCCATCCTCTTTCCCATGAACACTACCCCTTCTTTGCTTGGCCAGCCATGAGCAACCAGGCAGTGGTGTTTTCCTCCTTCATGCCAGAACAAGGGGCAGGTGATCCATGCCACCTCTTTCAACTGAACGCAAGGGGAAGCAGCTAGGCCAAATGGCTGGTGGCCTCCAGTCTTGCTGGGGATCTTG